CCTTGGTTGTGCTGTGGAGGTTGATACTGAGGCCGCGTGGTGCCGGCATGGTCTCTGTTTACTTCTGTAAGTTGGCGGCGTTTCGCCTCCAATCTGTTTGCCTTGCTGTGATGTTTGCTGTCCAGGAAATCTCCATCTAGATCCTCTTCTAAGACCGGTTGACGTTCATGATCTAAATGTGTGGTATGCAACAGTGGTTAAATAGATTTTTACACACCCAGGAAGCAGCCCATAACAGCAGTCTAACTCCCAGGTACCTATTTACTGCTAGGAAACAGGGGCATCAGGGTGACAGAAACTCTGCCAATTTTGTTTCTGCCGTCACCGGGGATCGAACACGGACCCTAGGACTGTGGTCCGGAGTGCTGTCCTCTCAGCTATCAGGCCCTCCGGAAAGGAAGTATGTGTAGCATAGGTGGAACTGGTGACCGCGTGAACACCGACTCCGACCTTCCTGTTTGGCCACGACGCTTCCTTAACTTTAATAGCTCGCTATGACTTGTGTCGCCTGGAGACTCTCAGGGTTCTGGCGGTGAAGTGCGGTGAAGTACATAAACTACATAAAAAGAAATGAACATATTAACATACAACACTCTAAGCTGCTACAACCCGGTAGCAATCCAATATCCTATCCTGGCTTCACCAACCGTCCATATCAAGTGGCTGCTCAACTCTTGGCTTACCCCTTACTACTCCCTCACTAAGTGGGGACTGCAATATCGTCACAACACTATTGTACAATCTATTTAAGCCTATTTAATCAGTTGTTAATTTAGCCAATAGTGTTTGATCGTGTGCCCAGCGATCATAATGAATATATGTTTATATATGATATACATTATCATACATATATTCATTGAGGCAGTAAGCTGAAGTAAGGAGTTTGAGTTCAGATGATAAGCTGGAGAGAGGAGCGGTACATGTTTTCTCGATGGTGGTCAATGGCAACTGAGAGGGCAGAGGCCCCAGCAGCGCGGCCTGGGAGGTAGCTCCCGGCGGCGTGTCAAATCATGTCCCCCTTTTTGGGGGAATACCCACTAAAAAGGTGGGTATTCCCACCTTTTTGGTGGGTATTCCCAACCTACCCTGGCTTTGCGCCCTGGTGAGGCCACTCCAGACCAGGCCGACACCAGAGCGCAACTCCATAGTCTCCTGAGACTGATGGATGCCTACTACTACTACCCACCACAGTCGGACGATGCAGTGTGGCGTCGGGTGGCAAAATTTAATGCTGGGATATAGTTTATTAATTATGTTCTAGTAGGGAAACATTTTTATTGGCATGACAATGGAATTGCAGGTTTGTTTGGGAAGAAATTAGTGGAACATCGAGGCTGGAGGAGTGTATGCTGAACTCTGTGGGAGAGCAGAACTCCATAGTGAGGAGTGGACCTCAAGCAGTGTAGAGGGGTAGTGAAGAGGAGTTTCACGTGTTTCTGGGGGATCAGTGGTGAAGCATCTCTGGTGTTTGATGAGAACTTCATTGTGTAGCAGTTTGGGAGGACTGCAGAAGAGCCTTGTTGACCGTTGTAGAGGACCTAGAGATATACATGGTAGTGAGCATCTAGGAACAGAACAGAGGTTCATGGTTCCCCTCCCCCCCCCCCTCCCCTCCTGGAGGGACAGAATCCCCAATCATCACTACATGAAATTTCACAGTGGGAAAGTGATTAATAATTATGTCAAATCCCACTGAACAGTAACAGTATTAAGTAGACAGTACCCCGCAATACATGGTAAACCCAAAGGATGTGAATTTTCTAACAACAGCAAGTTATGCATCGTCAATCACACTGAAAATTAAATCAGGACCGAAATACACCAAAACATATTTTAAGAAATTTATTCAAGGGCTACAATCACTACTAGATGTACAAATACAAATTTTTACCCATAATTATGTACAGTAATTCCTTCTCAATTTCACACAATATGACCCTGAATAATATATCAAGTCTATAGGACCAGAGAATTTCTGCAAGTAAAATCAATACATACAATTATTCACAGTCCTTCCACAGTTGTAAAATATTCAGTGGGTTAAGAAAAAACATTCTCCAACAAACTCAGAAATACAAAATGCCATCACAATACCTCAATGTCGAGCTAAGCAAACATAATTAACCCGAACTAACATTATCCGGCAAAACTGCAGCCATGTAGTCAGTACAAGGACTTAATAGAAAATATTTAACCAATAACACTACACTAGAACACTACACCTACACCATGAATACAATCAAGTCAACAAACACTCGGAATGAAGTTATAACTAGTGTTAACCCAGCCGCATATTACCCAACACGTACCATATAATACCTCAACAAAATATTGGAAAGACCAAAACAAGAGGAGCAAGTAACTAAACATCCAACACGAAGACATCTCCCACCTGCACCCAGACAAGCACCTAGTTGTCCTGGGTACTGGGTCGGCCCAAGCACCTGGTTGTCCTGGGTACTGTGTCGACCCAAGCACCTGGTTGTCCTGGGTACTGGGTCGACCCAAGCACCTGGTTGTTCTGGGTCGGCCCAAACACCTGGTTGTCCTGGGTACTGGGTCGGCCCAAACACCTGGTTGTCCTGGGTACTGTGTCGACCCAAGCACCTGGTTGTCCTGGGTACTGTGTCGACCCAAGCACCTGGTTGCCCTGGTTACAGGGACGCCCCAACACCTGGTTGTTCTGGTTACCGGGACGACCCAAGCACGTGGTTACCTCGGGTACTGGGTTGACCCAAGCACCTGGTTGCCCTTGGAACTGGGTCGCCCAAAGCAACTGGGTTCTGGGTCGACCCAAGCTCCTGGTGTCCCCGGGTATTGAGTCGACCTAAGAATTGGTTGACCAGGGTACTGGGTCTCCCAAAGCACCTGGTTACCCTGCATAGGTATTGGGTCTGCCCAAACACATGGTTGCCCAGGATACTGGGTCGACCAAAGCCCCTGGTTGTCCTGGATACCGGGTCAACCCAAGCACCTAGTTGTCCTTGGAATTGGGTTGAGCCAAGCACCTGGTTGCCCTGGATACTGGGTCGACTCCAGCTGTGGGGGTAAACCTGACTCCAATAACTAATAATTAAATATATACTTCGATAGCTATGAAGGACCACCACCTTTTGAGAAAAAGTGGAAAACAAAATAAAACAATAGAAAAACTGATCCCAAGAACTAGTGTCCTATGGATCTTAGTGAAACTCTATTTCTTATATAAATGGAGTCAAATTAACTTACACAAAATTGGGGGGTTACATGCTAAAAGATTAATACATCCGTAGCATTATTCTGGTGCTGGTTCTTCACCAGAGTAAATAAAATATGAAAGTAAATAAGGTTGATTATATAATATTAATTGGAGGTAAATGCTCTACAATATACTACTGAAATGTTGAACAGCATCAATAAATCAATGGGTTAGTGTAATTGATCTCTTTGAGAGATCACTACTGTAACTACAGAGTTATTGCTACAGATAAAAAGGGACAGCTTAGCTGTAAATCTAGTGAGGTGTAATCAGTTGCTACGCTCCACCGACGACGTGTTGCATAGGGCAAATTGTTGCACGGAACGGTGGGAAGCCTAGCACCTCGGTTGGCGTCGCCTTGGTACTGAAAGGCAATTACATTGTAGAAATCTTCTACATAATAAGTAACTACAAATACATCCTAAATCATGAGGATAACTGTAGGAAATTTCAGCCAATATCTGTGCAATTTATATTCAAGCACTGTAAATTTTCTTCTAGAGAGATATAATGAAAATAACCATCTATTTAGATGGTAAATTTACTTAAGACACGTACGGGATTTATTTGTTTGCTCTACGGCCTAACGACAACTAGCCTAAATGTTAATTGTGGCCACATAATAACAAAAAGGTAAACCTAGCTGCCGAGCCGCATGTCCGTTGATGTGAAGACTTGAGCAATTCTTCGTCCTCCAGCTGCTGCTTGAAAGGCGTTGACTTTGGAATTGCTCATATACTAGTCTGGGACACGGCTACTGTGCCAGATAACGTGGCACCGCTCTACTGGTCGTGGGAGCGAAATAAATGGGATCAAAACGTAGCTCTGCTACAGGCTGACAAAGGCGTCTGTGTCGTGTTCTCTCCTTCTCTCGTGTCTAGTGTCGCTCTCCCGTCTTCCCCCTCTTCCTTATTGCGCATGCGCGGCTCTCGATAGACATCTCGAGCGTAAATAGATATGTATATATCGCAATTGACTAAGGAAGGAAGAGGTAATGACGAGTATTAATATCACATTAAATTCTTCTGTGATAAAATAGAATTTCTCGTAACATAAAATGGCTTATTAAAGTTGTGCAGCCAATCGAGAAAATTAAAGTAAAATCATTTACATCAAAGTAATTTTCTCTAGAATGTTTAATATCAATTAAATAAGGGAGTTCCAGTAAGTAGTAGTAAACTACGAAATTAAACTTATTAGTAAGTAACTATTTTTAGTAAAGGAAATGATAAACTGGACTCTTGTTATAAATCCAACTAAATGTGGAGAGAATTCATGTTACTGCCTGTCGTTCCTCACGTCGTCACTCTCACTAGGAAGAATCTGGCAATATGTGTAAATAAATCATGATAATGATTAAATCTACAAGTTAGTAATTTTAGTAACTACTTGTGGTTAATACAAAGGTTGCATAAAATACAAAGATGTATAAAACTGTTGGTTATTTCCAACACCAGCACCTGGTTGATATTATCCCAAAGATTATAAAAATGTTTGTTTATCTGAATTTAGTATTATTTTGTGCATCTTCATTTTTATTATTATTTTATTACATAATATTATTATTAGCACTGTGTTAGTAGATATATTTGTATTAATGTTCAGTTTCTCATTATTTCCGTAAGTTATACCTACAAGGGAGCCGGTCGGCCGAGCGGACAGCACGCTGGACTTGTGATCCTGTTGTCCTGGGTTCGAATCCAGGCGCCGGCGAGAAACAATGGGCAGAGTTTCTTTCATCCTATGCCCCTGTTACCTAGCAGTAAAATAGGTACCTGGGTGTTAGTCAGCTGTCACGGGCTGCTTCCTGGGGGTGGAGGCCTGGTCGAGGACCGGGCCGCGATGACACTCAAGCCCCGAAATCATCTCAAGATAACCTCAAGAAGGCCTGAATAGATTGTGACGACCCATTGCCATAAAATTATTTGTGTTGGAAGCTTGGGCGCAGGTGGTTGTGTTGTGATGTTGTGGCATTGCTTTAAACATCTGTAATTGTGCACTCTTGACCTGATCCGTGTTCGTGTTATTGAAATACTTAAGTACTGATTCAACATCCCAACGAGCTTTGCATAGTTAGAATATCTTATTCCGATCACATTATCCAAAATCTAATTGAAGTTCAGTGGCACTAAGAACCATTCCTTCATTAATATATGAAGGAAACTTTGCGAAGTTTTATTTATATTTAATCTTCCTGATACTGATTGCGAGTAACCATATATATATATATATCATGACTACATGATTCTCCAATATTGACTTTTATCTATATCAATCATGAATTTAGCAGTAATATAATTTACAGTAGCTGTTGGAAAGTTTGCAAGTCGTGGGTATATTAGCATGACGAGGAAGAAAATATTATCATTTCAATGATTACAGGTCAGAGGTCCAGAACACTGTAAGAGCATATTTGCACCACCAGTAATTTACAACTCATTAATGTAGAAAACACGTTGAAATTCATTCAAACTTCTAACTTCTTACAACTCATTTAAGACATAATTACAGAGTCAAATTTGTAACAGCAGACACAAACATTCAGCTCCAAGAGGTCTAGAGTATCGGAAGAGTGTCTTCGTGAGTTAGTCGGTTCTTCTTCTTCTTCTTCTTCTTCTTCCAGTCCAAGTGACTTGAAAACCCAGAATTCCGAACTTTAGTGCCAGATCTCTTAGGCGATGATCTTCTTCCAGGGAGAGATAGTCTGTGACCTCCACTAAGAGGTTGTTGGTGGTGACGCCCTCACGGTCAAGTCCTCTCAGAAGTTTGACCACGCCCACACCTGCAGAAGGGAGGGAACTTCAAGTTCATACCCGGCTGCGTCATACACTTTTGCAGCAAAATCTACGAACATGATATTTAGATTGTAGTAAAAAGATATTTAGAGGCATTCAGAGTGGTGATTGTGGTGTTTGTGGTAGTGGTAGTGTTGTATGTGATGGTGGTGTTGATATTTGTGGTAAAATTGAATGTGATGTTGTTGGTATCCGTAGTAATAGAATCTTTAGGTGTTGTTATTATCTGTAATGGTGTTGTATGTAGTGATGTTGATGGATTCTAGGGTAGTGTTGAATGTGGTGTTGTTGGCATCTGTGACAGTTGTATGTGGGGGTGTTGCGGGTACCTGTGATAGTGTTGCATGTAGTGGTGTTGTTGGTATCTCTGGTAGTGTTGTTCGCTTTAGTCTTATTGGAATCTGTGGAAGTGTTGTGTGTGATGTTCTGCTATCTGTGGTGGTGTTGAGTGTGGTGGTATAGTTAGGATCTATGGTAGTGCTGTATGTGGTGGAGTTGATGGTATCTGGTCAACCCATCCTCCTGTTTAGATAAAAGCTTTTACAACTATGTGGACCATGGTACATACATAGACATAATGGACAATAAGATAATAGAATTTGGTACTATTCAATTTATTGTCCGAAAAATTAAAGCTAAAGACCAAACTTAAATATTCCTAGACATTGTATAGCATTTATTTACTATATTAGGCCTCAGATAGCGTGTATTAGGCTTAAAAAGTTAGGTTAGGTTTTCTTTGCAACGTCAATACAAAAATCTTTTCCCAGGTTGTCCAAATTCAATAATACAGTCCTAATTTATAATTGCCTTTTACGTTAAGGGGGCACGGGGTAGGATATTAAAAGTTGTTCTAATGAAATCAATATTTATTGAAGTTTTATATGTAAAAAAGCCTGCAACTGGTCCAAGTTTCAGCATCGCAGCCTAAATAGAAAGCCAAAAAAAATACTTTTTTTAGACGCTTTTTCAACATTTTTCAATGTTTTACTACAAACACAAGTGTCAACCGAAATCATTTCTATGACACTCAGCTATCACATTAGCATATAGTAAAAGTTTTGCGGCCAGATTTTTATCCCAAATGTATTTAGTGCAATAATACAAATTGTCAAAGTTTCTCTAAAAATTATGCAACAATATGATGTTAATAAATATTTATAACATCAATAAATGGACTTAGGAAAACAGTGTGGCACCAGTTTTTAGAGTCATAAACTCTACATATAATATACAAGTTTCATATAAATAGAATAAAAAATGAAAGAGTAGAGATAACGTCTATGTTACTTGAAAATAAATAATTAAAAAATAAAGTCTAAGGTTCTACCACCTGTGGCTGAGGTTGACATCAACCTATTTCCGCCAAAATTGGTACCCTTGCAGATAGGTTTACATGTAGTGAGGTGTATAAGTTTCATGCAAACGTCTGATAAACAAATAAGAAAAAAATGACAAAAAAAAATAAACATTTTTTTTTTATAAAACAAATTATTAGATTTTTTATTATATGCTACTGTGATAGCTGAGAGGCATAGACATCATTTCAGTTGACACTTGTCTTTGATTTTAATTTTTGACCATTTTAGAAAAATTTTGACACATAATTCAATATTTTTTTCCTCCCTTCCTATTTATGCTACGATACTGAGACTTTGACCAGATGAAACCCTTTTTCTTATACAACTAGTCAAAAATGTTTGATTGAAATGGAACTAGTTTTAATTTATTGCATATTTTGAGCATATTTGGACCCCGTGTCCCCTTAACATATGTACGATGGTCCTCATTGTTACTATTAGTACTACTAAATAGAAGGATGGGCTGTTGTAGTAGTGATGAATTTGGTGTTGGTATATGTAGAAGTGATGAATTTTATATTGGTATCTGTAGTAGTGATAAGTTTGGTGTTGGTATCTGTAGTAATGATGAATTTAGTGTTGGTATCTGTAGAAGTGATGAATTTGGTGATGGTATATGTAGTAGTGATGAATTTTATATTGGTATCTGTAGTAGTAATAAATTTGGTGTTCGTATCAGTAGTAGTGATGAATTTTATATTGGTATCTGTAGTAGTGATAAGTTTGGTGTTGGTATCTGTAGTAATGCTGAATTAAGTGTTGGTATCTGTAGTAGTGATGAATTAAGTGTTGGTATCTGTAGTAATGCTGAATTAAGTGTTGGTATCTGTAGTAGTGATGAATTAAGTGTTGGTATCTGTAGTAGTGATGAATTAAGTGTTGGTATCTGTAGTAGTGATGAATTTAGTGTTGGTATCTGTAGTAGTGATGGATTTGGTGTTGGTATCTGTAGTAGTGACTGATTTGGTGTTGGAGTCTGTAGTAGTATGAATGTATTAATACTTTAGTAGTAGTATTAATGTATTAATACTACTACTAGTATTATTGTATTATACAACAACACAACAGGTGATGAATTTTATGTCGGGATCAGAATTAGTAATGAATGTGGTGTTGGTATTTGTAGTATCGATGAATTTGGTGTTAGAATCTGTAATAGTGATTAATATGGTATTAATATCTGTTGAAGTGATGAATTTGGTGATGGTATATGTGGTAGTGATGAATTAATGTTGGTATCTGCAACAGAAGTGTAGTCTTGTATAAAGTGGTGAATTTGGTATCTGTGGTAGTGCTGAATAGGGCTGTATTGTTCGAATCTGTGAGATAAATGGTAGTGTTGTATGTACTGGTGTTAGGATCTCTAGTAGCGTTGAATGGGGTGGTGTTATTGGTATCTGTGGTAGTGATGTATGTGATTGAGGTGTTGGTATTTGTGGTAGTGTTCTATGTAGTGGTGCTGTTGGTATCTGTAGTAGTGTTGAATACAGTGGTGGTGTTGGTATCCGTGGTAGTGTTGTTGATATATTTTGAAGTGTTGTATGTGGTTGAGTTCGTATCTATGATAGTGTTTTATTTGGAGGCGTTGTTGGTATCTGTGGTAGTGTTGTATGTTGTGTTGTTTTGATTATCTGTGGTGGTGTTGTATGTGGTGGTGTTGTATGTGTGTTTGTGTATGTGGTGTATGTGGTGGTGTTTTGTATGTGGTGGGTGTTGTATGTGGTGGTGTTGTATGTGGTGGTGTTGTATGTAGTGGTGTTGTGTGTGGTGGTGTTGTGGGTGTCTTGTGGTGTGTGTAGTGTGTGTGGTGTTGTATGTGGTGGTGTTGTATGTGGTGGTGTGTGTGTTATGTGGTGGTGGTGTGGGTTAGTGTATGTGGTGGTGACCTGTGGGTGGTGGTAGGTATCTGTGTTGTATTGTATGTATGTTGTGGTGTTGTTGTGGGTATCTGTGGTGGTGTTGTATTTGGGTAAGGTTGTAGGTGTGGTGTTGTATATGGATCTGTGTTAGTGGTGGTGTTGGAATGTGGTATTGTTGTATGTTGTGGTGTTGTTAGGATCTGTGTTAGTGTTGTATGGGGCGGTGTTGTGGTGTTGTTGGGATCTGTGTTAGTGGTTGTATGGGGCGGTGTGTGGTGTTGTTGTGATTGTGGATCTGTGGTAGTGTTGTGTTGTTGGGATCTGCGGTGTTTGTGCTGTGTGTTGGGATCTGTGTAGTGTTGTATGGGGCGGTGTTGTGGTGTTGTTGGGATCTGTGTTAGTGTTGTATGGGGCGGTGTTGTGGTGTTGTTGGGATCTGTGTTAGTGTTGTATGGGGTGGTGTTGTGGTGTTGTTGGGATCTGTGTTAGTGTTGTATGGGGCGGTGTTGTGGTGTTGTTGGGATCTGTGTTAGTGTTGTATGGGGTGGTGCTGTTGGTATCTGTGGAAGTGTTGTTGGTATCTGTGGTAGTATTGTATGTGGAGGTGCCACAGGTGCCGCAGATGTCAACATTGTTGGAATCTGTAGGTTCAACAGGTACCAACAACACCACCACATACAACACCACAAACATACAACACAACCAAAGATAATAGCAACACTACCACCGCGGAGCCGGTCGGCCGAGCGGACAGCACGCTGGACTTGTGATCCTGTGGTCCCGGGTTCGATCCCGGGGCGGCGAGAAACAATGGGTAGAGTTTCTATCACTCTATACCCCTGTTACCTAGCAGTAAAATAGGTACCTGGGTGTTAGTCAGCTGTCACGGGCTGCTTCTAGGGGATGGAGGCCTAGTCGAGGACCGGACCGCGGGGACACTAAATAGCTCCGAAATCATCTCAAGATAACCTCAAGATAACCATACAAAACACTACTACAGATACCCACAACTCTACGATATTCAACAGTACCACGTATACCTACAACACCACAACATATAGCACCACTGCATTCAACACTACCACAGATTCCAACAACACAACCAAATTCAACACTACCACAGGTACTCACAACACCACCACATTCAACACTACCACAGATACCAACAACACCACCGCATACAACACCACTACAGATTTAAACAACACGACCACGTTCAACACTACCACATATACCAACACCTCAACAACATACAACACTATCACAGATACCAACACTACCAGTACCATCATCACTACCACAGATACCAACAACACCACCACATTCAAAACTACCACATTCAACATTTCTACAGATAACAAAATATCAATGAGGTGGAGGTTCCCATCAACCTCCAAAGGGGAACAACGGCTGTCTATCATTAACAGTTAAGGAAGTCAAGCCCATTAATTCTCTCTTATCTGAAAACCTTATTCAGGCGATCATAACGACGTCTGCTAGAACATTACCACACAACCCGAAAGAAGCCAACCCTAATGCAGCGGCCAAACTCTCTAATCTTTTGAAAAGGGTCAACGATGCTCCGGAAACTATTCAACTATTGTACAATGTTGTTTTGTTTGGCAATGACGGTTTAACCGTCCCTCAAGGAGGGACAAATCACTTGCATCTTCAGTCATTAGGACGATAAATGAATACCAAAGGGGGATAGCCTAATTCGCCTGCCTCCTCTAGCAAAACATACCCTTCATGGAAATGGCAACATCAGAAACGTCCAAAATAGGATCACAAATTCCCAAGAAAATTGAAGAAAGACATACAGCAGGCGCTCTTCAAGTCCTCACCAGTGACGAAATTATTTTTCCTAGAAACTTATTCAGCTTGGAACTGGTATCCCCCATGATTTTGAAGCGGCCGCTCATGCAGCACAAATGTACATCGCCAGTATCTCTGGCGAAAAAGGCTCTGCTCAAACAGGACTTCAGTATCATTCACAAACCATTAGAATACTGCTGTTATGTCGACTACATATTTGTAATAATAATAAGACTATAAGAACTAATCGATCTAAAGTGCCATCTAGAGAAAGAGAGAGAGAGAGAGAGAGAGAGAGAGAGAGAGAGAGAGAGAGAGAGAGAGAGAGAGAGAGAGAGAGAGAGAGAGAGAGAGAGAGAGAGAGAGAGAGAGAGAGAGAGAGAGAGAGAGAGAGAGAGAGAGAGAGAGAGAGAGAGAGAGAGAGAGAGAGAGAGGAGAGAGAGAGAGAGAGAGAGAGAGAGAGAGAGAGGGGGGAGAGTCAGGACTTTGTTTCACCCATGATAATAGTTACAATAACAGTCTGCCTTTCATGGATGTGTTAATAATAAAATAGTAACATCTCTGAGCACCATCATATATACCAAGCTTACAACCATAGGAGTATGCCCAAATGGTAGGAGCGAGTACCCTAAAAGATATAAAGCAAGTGTTCTCAACGCTTTTATTCGTCGAGCCCTTACCCAGAAGCACTGTAGTGTCCAATAATCTATATTGTACTGGGCTAAAAAGTGTTAGAAACATTTAAAAAAGAAACACTTTCAAACACTTCATTAGAAACACTTCAGGTTCCATTAACCAAGACAGTGTTGGACAAAACAGTCCCTTCGGCTACTCTAAAAGAATTCCAGCTAAACAAATATCATATGAAAAGTATTGTTAGCTAAATTAGAGCGCTGAGGAACTCAATGTCGCTCATGTGCTCCTGATATTCATATGTCAAAGATATACGTACTGGTGATGTCAGTGCCGCAGAAGTTCAGAAAAGGGTACGAGAAAATTCTGGTGCTGGTGCGAGGACAAAGTTGCCGAGCCAGACGACAACACCAGTCGAGGTCGGGGCTGTAATCGGTGAAGCTGCAGACGATTGTCAGTTCGAGTCCACATCCCCTATATTGCAGACTGGGCAAGGTGGCCAGGTCCTCGTGGCCCGTAGCTTCCACGATAATACCTGAAGACACAAATAGGATATAGATACTCTGCCCTTGTGGATTTCTAAGCTAAAAAACTAGAAGACATTAAGAAATAGCCACTGCCCCTATTTAGTGGTGTTTTAGACATGGCTTAAAACTATATCACATTTGGTGCAACTAATTCAGGAATTATATTGTCATCAGAGTCCCAGAGGTGCGGTAGCTTGGGAACTGCATGAATCATGAATATGTCTACATAAATTTTGTTGTCAATAACAAGTTTAAGTTTGTGATTTACCTGATGCGTGAAGTCAACATTTTCCAAGCCCAATGGCTTGGAAAATGTTGGGTTGAAAAAGACCCTTTATAATATATACTATTTTATGTAGCTCCAGGCTGAAAGGTACATGTTAAGTAGCTCCATGTTGGTAAATGTTGCATTTTCTAGCCAGGAACTGGAAAGTATTGCATTTTGTAGTTGCTGTCTAGAATATGTTGCCTTTTTTCCTAATTAGAAAATTTAGCATATGTATCTTCTGGCTAGAAAATTTTACCAGGTGTTGCCTCTAACTGGCAAATGTTAGAATGTCACGACCATCACGACCGGACAAAAGATGATGGTAGCCGAGGGTACCGAGAAATGAGGTGATTTGATAAAATACCATGTCCAAGATTACCATTAGAGCGCCGGCGGGATGATGGGCAAATAGCCTCGCCTACCATCATCTTTTGTCTGGTCGTGATGGTTGAACGGTTAAGGTCTCCTGTACACTAGTTGCATAGCGCTTTTGGCAGTATGGGTTCGAGTCACTTCTGAGGTGTGAAGGTTTCAGTTGCATATACGCCTGTTGACCATTCAGGCTTGTTCGCATTTGTGTTGCTCATGTGGTCCCAAAAATTTTGTAATTTGATATAATACCATGCCCAAGATTATCCTCAGAGCGCCGGCGAGATGATGGGCAAATATCCTCTGCTACCATTATCTTTTTTCCGGTCGTGATGGTTGAGCGGTTAAGGTTTCCTGTATACCAGTTGCATAGTGCTTATGATAGTATTGGTTCGAGTCACTTCTGAGGTGTGGAGTTTTCAGTTGCATATATGCCTGGGAACCATTCAGGCTTGTTCGCCTTTGTGTTGCTCATGTGGCCCCCAAAAATGAGGTGATTTGATAGAAATACCGTGCCTAAGATTACCATCAGAGCGCCGGCAGGATGATGGGCAAATAGCCTTGGCTACCATCATCTTTTGTCCAATCGTGATGGTCGAGCGGTTAAGGTCTCCTGTACACCAGTTAGTGTGCTCCTGGCAGTATGAGTTCGAGTCACTTCTAGGGTGTGGAGTTTTCAATATTATATCATGCTTATATTCGTTTTGGTGTGAGGTGATATGACACAGATGTTTTTGGGAGAGGTAACAAAAGTCAGAACTCGAATCAATGGGTATATATTGCATATAAGAATATATGAATGAAAGTAACCACTCGCTGGTCAACAAGCCTACTGTTCGTTTGAGACTGCCGGCTGGCAATTACTTACACACCAGCGCCACCTACATGGCCTCACAAGTGTACATAAGGAGTTCACCAGCAACTAGACAGCGGAATACTCCTCAGTGCTCAAAGCTGCCACATCTGCTCCTGCTCCCCTGGGTGTTGGTAGATTTATGCAGCTCTTGTACATAGTATTCCAGCACCAGTAATTTTTTATCTTAACGTAACATTCACATGTTTGTTTCTTTTACATCTTTGCACTGTGCATAAGCCAAGTTTCATTGAGGATCTGTTTTTGTAATTGTTAAAATTATTTTTTGTTATATTAAAATATTTAAGTTTTTTCATTCCTTGTACTTTATCCCGCAGTTACCACACCGTAAAGAGATCAGTAACAGTTTTATTTACTTTGTTTTTACTTTTTTTTATTTTAGTGTGATTGGTATTCCATCTGCCTGATTTGCCACTGCTCTATTCGTCCTTTTTTCGTCATTAAAGTTGAGGCCTGTCCTAGGAGTCTTGCTCAGGTAATGTTTTTAGACTCTTTCCTTTGAGTTCTGGTAGTTGTACTTGGCTTTAACACATGTTTGTCTTTTCAGAATCCCCTATTTGAGTATTTTTATGGTGCTTAATACTATATACATTCCAGGTGTAACAATTTATGACTGTTGGATTGACTCTGGATTTCGTGGGTGTTTTATGCGCAAATTCATACTCGTAATTGATTGTCAAATAATCTTTGCTGTATCCTGTGTTTTCCACCTTATTCTCGTCCCTACAGGAGAGTTTCTCACTCAGGCAGATCACCCCCTATGGTACCCTGGTACTTTGATCTGTCTCCGGGCTATTACGCCTACTCTTTGCAACCCGAACTTAGGAGGAAATAGTGGACCATAGTTCCTCTCGCAATTAGGACTTCGCTGTACGGTTGGGACCCATACAGCAGTTCTTGTCTTTAATCTTGTCTTACACACAAGTAATAGGTAACACGACACCAAAAACTCTTCCCCATTGAAGGATTGGAACCTTTTAAAGCCTTGTGGTCATTGTATTGGATATGTCAAGGTGCATAATGCACCAGGCTTTAAAAGGTTCGAATCATTCAAAGGCGAAGAGTTTTTGGTGTAACCTAATACTTGCGTGTTTATGCATGTGTACTCGCCTAGTTGTACTCACCTAGTTGTGCTTGCGGGGGTTGAGCTCTGGCTCTTTGGTCCCGCCTCTCAACCGTCAATCAACAGGTGTACAGGTTCCTGAGACAGTGTGATGTGTGTTGTGTATATGAAGGTTGCGTTTTTCCTAGTAAATGTGATTGATTGAGGGTGATATGAAAGGTGAGATGATATGAAACAAATGTTTTTGGGTGAGGTGACAAAAGCCAAAGCATGAATCAATGGGTATATATTGCATATAAGAACATAAGAATGAAGGTAACTACAGAAGATCTATTGGCCCATATTTTCTATTTCTGCTTCTATGTTGGTTCCAGGTCTTGAAGTGGGTAGTATATAGTTATGTGTTAATTGGCTGTTGATTACTGGTATTGACTTTTTGATGTGTAGGGGTTTCGCTGATGTCGAGTCTCCTGCTATCGCTGTATCTTTCGATGATTTCTGTGTTGCTTTTTAAGATTTTTTTGGCGATGGTCTGGTTGTGAGAGTAGATTATATGTTCCTTGATGGAGCCAAGTTGTTTGTGCATTGTTAATCGACTAGAAAGAGACGTTGTTGTCTTGCCTATATACTGAGATCTTTGGGGATGACAGGTCCCCATCTTACCGTTGCTGGTGTCTTTCGGGATTGATCAATTGGGGAAATTTCTCTTGACATTCAATCATTTTAATGATCTGTGTGATGTAGTGGTCAGAGTACTGGTTATGTCAAAGTGCGTAACAAAACTAGCTTTTTAAGGTTAGTATCCTTCACAGAGGAAGAGTTCTTGTTTTTACCTATTACTTTCGCGTTTAAGCAAGTGTGTCATTTATATGAGGCTCGAGTTTTCCCTAGTAAATGTGATTGATTTTATGAAAAGAACTCTGATCTCTTACTATTACTAGTGTCGTTGGGAGTTGATCTATTGGGGAAATTACTCCCGACTTTCAATCCTTTTAACGATCTGCGTTGTGCAGTAGTCAGAGTACTGGTTATGTTAAGGTGTGTAATGCACCTAGCTTTCTAAGGTTCGAATCCTTCACAGGGAAAAGTTCTTGGTGCTACCTATTACATGGTCGTTTATGCAAGTGTGTTGTCTATATGAGGTTTGCGTTTTCCCTAGTAAATATGATTGATTTGATGAAAATAAATGCTGATCTCTTATCATTGCTTCTGTCGGAGGGGGTATATTTGTTTGGGAAATTACTACCGACATTCCATTCTTTTAACAATCTGCATGGTGTAGTCGTCAGAGTACAGTCAAGGTGTGTAATGCACCTGATTTTCTAAGGTTCGAATCCTTCAGAGGGTCAAGAGGTCTTGGTGTTACCTATTACTTGTTCATTTATGCAAATGTACCATGTATATGAGGCTCGAGTTTTCCTTAGTAAATGTGATTGATTTTATGAAAATAAACTCTGATCTCTTACCATTGCTGGTGTCGTTGGGGGTTGATCTGTTGGATAAATTACTCCCGACGTTCAGTCATTTAAACAATCTGCATGGTGTAGGTATCAGAGTTTAGGTTATGTCAAGGTGTGTAATGCACTTAGCTTTCTAAGGTTCGAATCCTTCATAGATTAAGAAATCTTCATGTTATCTGTTACTTGCGTGTTTATGCAAGTTTGTCATCTATATGAGGCTCGCGTTTAGCCCTAGCAAATGTGTTTGATTTGATGAAAATGAACTCTGATCTCTTAATATTGCTGGTTTTGCAAGGATTGATTTGGTTGATACCTGGTTGATGGGGTTCTGGGAGTTCTTCTACTCCCCAAGCCCGGCCCGAGGCAAGGCTTGACTTGTGAGAGTTTGGTCCACCAGGCTGTTGCTTGGAGCGGCCCGCAGGCCCACATACCCACCACAGCCCGGTTGGTCCGGCACTCCTTGGAGGAATAAATCTAGTTTCCTCTTGAAAATGTCCACGGTTGTTCCGGCAATATTTCTTATGTTTGTTTGGGAGGACGTTGAACAACCGCGGACCTCTGATGTTTATACAGTGTTCTCTGATTGTGCCTATGGCACCTCGGCTCTTCACTGGTTCTATTCTACATTTTCTTCCATATCGTTTACTCCAGTACGTTGTTATTTTACTGTGTAGATTTGGTACTTGGCCCTCCAGTATCTTCCAGGTGTATATTATTTGATATCTCTCTCGTCTTCTTTCTAGTGAGTACATTTGGAGGGCTTTGAGACGATCCCAATAATTTAGGTGCTTTATTGCGTCTATGCGTGCCGTATATGTTCTCTGTATTCCCTCTATTTCAGCAATCTCTCCTGCTCTGAAGGGGGAAGTGAGTACTGAGCAGTACTCCAGACGGGACAACACAAGTGACTTGAAGAGTACAACCCTTGTGATGGGATCTGTTGGGAAAATTACTCCCTACGTTCAATCCATTTA